TATCTATCTATCTATCTATCTATCTATCTATCTATCTATCTATCTATCTATCTATTTATCTGTCTATCCATCTACCAAAATGTACCTGGATGTGTAATGCCTGTGGTGCTCTGTGGGATCTGTCCAGACCTCCAGGTACAGTTGGGATCCCCCAGTTCTTCTCCATTGGTCTTCCCGTCACCGTCAGAGTCCAGACGACACAGCTCCTGGTTCCACTGGATAACACATAGAAAGAAATACTGAGTAGGGCATTAGCTCGTGACGTCATACGTCAGTGGTCAAATAATAATAATAGATAGTATTTGTACAGTGCAAATCACTGCTCAACAGCAAGCTCTATGCGCTTCACAATCTATACTATTACCCAGCAGACCTGAGAGCATTCTGAAACAACCTCAACTTCCTGAAAAGCATACAGTACACGCAGCCATTTATAGGCGATAAAACATTAACATACTGACAAGATCTTTCGGCTGTCTATGGCCGGGTACCCATTCCCACCTGGATGAAGTGAAGAAAATTCGTGTAAAGTGCCTTTCCCAAGGGCACAATGTCGGGCCCGCGGCTCGAACCCCCGAACCCGGAAGCTCACGATTACGAGTCCGGTAGCCTGATGACAATTATTGTCCAGACGACATAGGTCCTGGTTCCACATTACAGCAACGAGACGGGTAGCATAGAGTAGGTCATTAGTTCGAGACGTCACACTTTAGTGGCCAAATACCCATCATACCCTGGTTCCACTGGACAGCACACAGACAGAAAGACAATATTCTAATAGGCTATTAGTTTGTGACGTCATACTCTTGTGACCATCACAGCTACATTCCAAACAACACTAACCTTGGCACAAACAGTCCTAAAACAGAGAATGAAACAATTCAAACACACCACTCCACATAGCACACTGGTGTAAGGTAAGAAATGGGATCTGAGATACCAACAAATAAAATCCACTTGTATCGTCTCAGTCTGTTGTGTTGCCCTGTGCAGCACGCTAGCGGCTGGCTCGACGGGACATTACTAGACTACACATGATAATTATGCACAACAACATTCTTTGGGGATCGCGGAAGTTGTATCCTTATTTGCAAAGAAAGACACTTCTTTTTGCTATCAGATGCTTTAAGGGCTATCAAAAGTTAAAGCCAGTTAACTTGAGCACAGGTCAGGGGCAAATATTTACAGAATCTACGTGTATGGCTCTGGAGAATATCCATTTTCGGAAGCGTGATTGTGACTGCTATCCGCTGGCTTAGTTCAGCTGCCTCAGCTTATAGTGACTATATGTTTGTTATGAACTTACTTTTAGTGATCGGCGATGCCCCTACCCCAAAATGTTCTACTGCCACATTAGTCTAGACGACAATTGAATCATTTTCT